TTCTTCAAAGAAGAATTGATGAGTTAGAAAAAAATAATAAGCAATTATTAAGTGAAAATAAAACATTAAAAAAAAAGATTACAGGCTGCAAGTTTAAAAATAAATTGAACAAATATAGAAAAACAAATATATTTACCTTGCAGAGTCTTTACTATATGTGTTACGAATGTGACAAGCCCAGCATTTTGAACACATACCTCATGTTGTTAAACAACTGCAACAGGTAGTAGTACGATTATGACACCTTATACAACGAAGCTGAATACGTTTTCCCTATATCTGCGAAGTTGAAGAATTATTTTTAAGACTAACAAGATCATACTCAATAACTTCTAAGTTTGGGTTTTTTCTTTTTTTCATTCTATCTGCAATGGTTTCACTTTTTTTTATTATTTCACTAGAATAATAGTCAAAAAGAGAAGCCACTAATTGTTTACAGAAGTCAATATGGTTTATATTTTTTTTGTTTGGAACAAATTGACAATATGCAGAGTAACTATTTGCTTCTGCAACAGAAAAGTAAAAAGAAGGATATGATTTGCAAAGCATCTTGAAGCAAGAATATCATAATAAGAGAGCACATTGTCCAGTTGGGAATTTTACCATATTTGGTAATCAATGATCGCACCCTGATTCAGTAATAATTAACCTTCAGATTATTCTATACTTCATTTCCAGATTGTTCTACATATTATGATAATTAGCCAATCAAATTAAAAGATTATATTAATCAACTTTTAACTTCTTTTGGCTTAACAATCTTTATACAGAAATGTGCATTATGCTGCAATAAAGGCACATACATACATATATACGAGTGTACATATAGCTCTGGAGTTTTATGTGGCGACAGTACAGCAGTATAGTAAAAGTTGCATGTTAAATTAAATTGACTTAAGAGAAGTAAATTCTATGCTTACTTTGTCCAATTCGAATAACAAATTAAATCTTTCTGAAATCTAACAGATTACATACTAGACTAACTTTTTTTTTTTTTTTTTGAGATAGATCTTTGTTGTGTTAAGAGGTTTTCTTAGTTTTATTGGTAGTGCGTTACTGTCAAATTTAGTTTGGCATTTTATTTGGCATTTTATTTGGCATTCTACTGTTCCAAGTCTTTTCTACTTTTTTACTTTTCATTTTTTAGATAGTGCTGTAATGGCTAAACTTGATAATTTACAAATAGATGGAGAAAAAATTTGGAATTATATTATTAAATGGGAAATTGCTCAGAATCTTTTTTTATCTAATCTTGATAAATGGTTCGATGAACACTTCTTAGCTTTAAAAATTCATTTCAAAATTATCTTTCTTTAATTTGCCATTTTCAAGTGTCTAGTGAAAATATCTGATAAAATTTGGCCTTATCAAAAAATTCTTGAACCAAATTTGTGGGTAATATTATGTTAAAATTTATATTACCAAACGAATCTATAAAATGTTACTTTATCTTTTCACATTAATTGTTATGATGAATTACTTAATTGTAGCAAATATATTAAAATATTAAACGATTAACCCAAAATATATATCAAATTTACTTTTATTTATTTTATTAATTATTATTAAATAAAGATATTATATTTATTATACTATATTAAAATTATTGTACTTTTATATATAAATACTATATTGATAATAAAATAACACAAATCTTCTAAGAGAAATACCCTACCAATTATTTTTTACTAGTACTAATATTATTTTTAGCTAATATATTTCTGACTTCTTGAAGAATATTTATTAAATCTTTACGGGACTTATTTGATAAACTACAAAAACGTGATCGATCTAAATCACCTAAAGAAGTAATTAAAGAGTTAATAATAAATAAAATTTCTGGTTTTTTTAAAAAACTTTTGCTTCCTTGAAGTTCTGTCTCATCGCATGCTATGGGAATTGAACACCAAATGTCTAAAGGTATTTTTTTAATTAATGTTGCTTTAATAAATTCATTTCTTTTCATACTCACGATTTCATTAAATCTTATCATTTGTTTACTTAATGTCAATTCTTCATCTAGATTTTGAAAAATACGATTATCAGCATTTGGATTTACAAATTGAGTTTTTTTTATCTGAACCCAAAATTGATGTGATTTAGCAGTAAAACCATGACATATATGAGGCTTATTGGCTTCACTTTTAGAGTATCCTATTATATTAAAAATGTTAGTATGTAATTTTAAAAAATTAGTACAATTACGTGCCACAATTTCCCAATGCCATTGTGAAGGTATTGGAGGAATTAATGATTTCAATGATTTGTTAATTTCTTCAAGTATTGTGTCATGGCCTTGATGTTGATTTGAAAGTTTGGATCACAAAATAACAACCCTTTCTTGGATTAAATTTCGAATTTCAGGCCTTAATCGTAGCATTTGTTCTTCATCAGCAATCTTGATTAATCAATAGATTGGATGCTGCTGAGCAGACCAATGCAAATATTTGTTTAGCTGCAAATTTTAGTGAAGGCCTATTGAAATGAACATTAGTATGAAAGTTAATAATTGCTTGCAAATAAATAAAAGTTTGTTTATACTTTAATCTAAACATATGATCAGTCTGATTTTGAGCTCATTTTAAAAATCCTTCAACAGAAGGATTTTTTTCAGAAATAACATATAGCCACATTAACTTGGATACAATTGCGCGCCTATATATATTATATATAGAATCCCATGACTTATGATGATCAGTGCATTTTTTGAAGAACTGAAGTTGGTTGTCAGTTCGATATCTTTGACACTTAGCAAAATCTCTTAAATCAATAACTCAATATAATTCAACGAATACCATTAACATATTCATTTCTTCATGAAGAGTACCCGGAATTAATATGAGCCAAGGAAAATCATTTTTTATTTTTTGTATGTGATGATATAGTACTCTATCACAGGTAACTACAATCCATTTATGGCTACCATTTTTAACTCCAGATATTTCTTCAATATGCTCAAGAACTTTTCTAATGTTAGCAACTGAGTTTGGATTAATTCCTATTGGATCAGAAATGAATATTTGTGATGCATGGACTTCACCTTCCAAAACTAATTGTTGTTTAAATATGTAAAGAGAAATAGTAGGTAATTTTTCAGCAGCATTTATAGTCTTAGGTTGTTCATCGATTATCTTAGCAATCGTTGGTAATTTATTTTGGCATTTAGGGCAAACTTGTTTCTTATTATCGATATTAGAGGTTTGGCAAACTGGATATTTCTTCATATATCCTATCTGACTTTGCTAATAAACCAATTTGTCGATTGTATTTGTTTCTTGATTTTTCTCAATGCAAAGCTCACCTAAAATAATCAAAAGATAATTAGTAAGTTCTTTATTAATTTTATCACTCATATCTGATAATAAATAAAATAACTCTTTATATTGTTTTTGGTCAAGTTCCTTATATAGCCAAGGATTTTCATTTTGAATATTATTACTTTGGCTATAGCTAAATGCAATGAAACTCATAACTATGTGGAATATAACTGTATTATTCTCATGATTCAAATAATTTATTTGACCTTTCTGTTCATTGTCAAAGGCCAAAAACAAAAACCCCTCAGGAAGTTGTAGTTGTTCTCTAGCTAAACTTTCTAATCAATTATTGAACTTTATATAACAACCAGAGCTAATAATATGGTTATCAATATTAATAATCATTTTTGATCTTGCTAATGAATACTTAACTGCTGAAATAGCCAAATTAATAGCCGATATGTATTTTAAATGCCTTGACCCATATAGAGCATCAACTGCCACTGCACACTTGAAAAGCTTTTCCTCTTCATGCTAATGTTCATTCTCGTTATGCATAAGAGTTTCTATAAACTTGATGATAACCAGATTCTGCTTAGCAAGCCAATTGGAAGGAGAATACTCTAAAAGACTACCTAAAGAAAACCATTCTTGATTCTTTATTAAACTTATTATATCTTCATAAAAATTACTCTGTTCTTTTTCAGCAATCTCTATTATAGAATGAATATGATTTTCTTGGTTAGTAAATTTTCACTTAGCTTTTTTTTTAATGTTTTATTTTCACTTAATAATTGCTTATTATTTTTTTCTAACTCATCAATTCTT